TTCCACTCGATATGATGACTCCGCGCGAAAGTTCATGGTTACATTGGTCGCCGATCAATCGACCGTGCGTGTTAGAAGAAAAAAATCGCCTGGGAAGAATTTACTATCCACGTACTATAATGGTTTTTTTCTTTTATCTCTCACAGAACTGGTTTTTTCTTTTATAATCGTTAAATGCCAACATAAAGAAAATGGTAAATAACTGCGTTGATTGTAACGGTTGATCCCGTACGTTACCGTATTATATTCTATATATACACTTTCCTAAATATATACCGGCGGGATACAAAATCGTTGGCCTTTCGCGTGTATTTTTAAGTGCGACCGTTTTCTCACGTGGAAAACGTGATCGTCGTGCGTGGACAGAGCTCTTGGTGAAACGATTCGGTGGAAGGAATTTTAGAGATTCAGAGGGTGACGCTTTTACGGTTGCTTGGCAACGAGGCCAGGCAACTGGCCAGACAGACAAGCGAACCAGCAGCAGCAACAGCTTCGTCGTTCACAGTCGGAGGCGCCTACCTCGGGCCCGACGATCCGTTGAGGTCAGAGCCCGTCTCACAAAGAAAAGGGCCCCTCCCTTGGCGCCCTCCTCGTTTCCTACAGGGTGTCTTGCAATTCCCTATCTACTTATACATATATTTATCTTTATGAGAATGATTCTTATTATCTTTTACTACCCTACCATTTTCTTAAGAATATCCGGATAATGTTTTAAGATTTTTTATGTTACTGACAAAACTAAAAAAGTATTTCTCTCAAATATACATCTAAATTTTAATTTATACTTAAAGAAATTTTTTTAAGTACGTTCTCCTTTATCTTTATTCGCTGGTTTTATCTTCCTGAAAAATAAAATATCTCGTAATTCCTTAATGGTGCACTAATCCAGAAATTAATTTATCGTGGATTGTAGATTTGAATATAAAAACTCGATGTTTAGGAAGATATGTCGGAATATAATCCCGATAATGATTCATAATGACTTTTCTTGTCTGTTTATCAGTTTAATTGATTACTGGTGAAAGTAAAGAAGAATTGACAAGTTTAACAAGTACAAAACCCTTTTTTATCTCTGTTTCACTTATACTCGTAATACCACCGATTAATTGTTGCTGCTTTTTATCATCCACTTTCTCCGTCGTCGTATTTCGATTCCTTTATGCTCTAACAATAAGGCTAAAAGGATAGTCAAACAACTCGTGCGTTGAAACAACCCGTTCAGTCGCTAATATTGATAAAACGCATTGACGCTTGTGCAACCGTTCTGTTGTCAAATACAATATTGATAGTATTCGGTCTGTGAACGATTATTCATCGTGATTAGACCTTCCAACACGTTTCAAACGACGACCGGCATCATGGCTGAGAGTCTACTACTGAAGTCGTTGATTTTCAGCTAAGGTTCGATTCTCATGGTCGCGTGGATAAATTACCGATCGCGAAGGTTGGTAAACAGGAACGTGTCTACTATGTATACACACACGCATAATACATTACCGTCGAAAAGTTTGGAGTCACGCGTCGTATTGACTAATCAGCGTATAATTAGCGTCCAAGGATTTGATTGTTTATTTGCTTGGAGGAAACGAAATGATTTTTATGGTCTTCAAGCTATAAACTGTACTTGAGAAGAAGGTTGTAGAAATATCCTACGTCGAGTGCTATGAACTTCTAACAGAATACAAAGTAAGGCAATGACCCGAAACTTTTGGATAGTAATGTATATAAAATATACAAACGCGCACACAACGAATCCAATGAAATATGTCGTGCGCCTTCGTGACTGTAAATGGGTTGGATAATGATTTAAGTGTTCCCTGTTGCGAACAACGTCGAGTGTAATGGATTGGCGTGTACGGAGCAAATGAAAAGATAGTCGCGTTTCAATCTGCGTTCCGAGACCACGAAACGTTCCACCATTTCTCGTTCCGTCCTTTTCTTCGTTCGGTTCGGTTCGGTTCAGCCGTTTCTTTCGTCTCGCGTGTGTATATTCTGTGTCTGGGCGACAGGCCAACGACTTGCGTACGGTAAAACTGGCATCGAGCGAAAGAGAGGCACCGTTTCAAAATCGTTTCACGATCGACATCACGATCAACGCGGAAATATATCGTTGCAATGGCGACGTTAGTCATTGATTATGTAAATAGTGGCGAGTGTAGCAGTCAATTGAAATTCCTGGGTGAACCTCCTTAGTCATCGGTGATCTCTTTGTGTCAGAAAGGTGTAGTGTTCGACGTAAGTACGTTATGTACCTTGGCATACTCTTATTGGACCGTAACCACTTGTTGAACTGTCGCGTCGTGCAATCTGTTCTAACGAAACTACGATCGAATAACGATCACGCGAAATCGGTGTTACGTTCTTAACCTCAATTTCAACCACGAGAAAATATTTTTTATTATCGCTGTGCACGATCGTCCCTGCGTATAATTGTTCGCTATTCACGATACACCATCCTTTGTTCCGCTCTTTGTTCCGATTCGCGTTCCCAATTTTACTTTCATCGCACGAAGGCAGCCATAACTAATAGCCGTGATTACTTGCATCAGTAACCGTCACCGCGACTTATCGCGGTCAACTTCCGACCTTCTTCGAAACGTTTCCTTCTGACCAGCTCGATGATTTTCTGTTCACCGTTTATCTTTAGTTGTGTAATCCAAGTATCTGAATTACGTCATGTTTGCTAAAGGTACTTTTATTCATTGCTTCCAGAAACTCTAGTAAAAACCCCTGTCGATTCGATATCTTGCAAAAAAACATCGACTTCTAAACGTCCATTACAGGAAGTGTAGTCCCAGCTCAAAAAACATCCTTTTACTTTGAATTTAAAACACTCACGTCGTGGTATAAAAATCTCTATCAAACAAGTACTGCTACGAATGATTAGATTGACCTTCTTACCCAGCAATAAAAGTGTGAAACGAGGTTTCTAGAAACAAAGATCTTAAGAATAATTTCACGTTATCGTATTTATCCTTCGAAGCTTGGAATTTCGACCTTGTAGAGATTCTTGTGTTTTCAATGATAAAACACTCAGGTGTCACCTTTTTGGCGCCTATATTTGCATGTATTAAATCGAGGGACACATGCGTATTTTAACCAGTAACATTGTCAACGAGACAATGCTGAGAGGTGTTTCAACATGAAACATTTCTCGCGAATGAGCCACATATTTTTACGCGACGTAACAGTGTGAGTCGTGCAACAAAATCATGCGATTTCCGTTCACTTTTCATACTGTTTGACTATATTGCCGATACGACACGTTTATTTCGCGACGCGCATGCGCGTACCTGCGCGTACCGACGCAGATGAAACAGCGCGCGTTTTTTTCTCGCGCGTGCACGCAGTTACACGTGCCTGTTCCCCGTGGCCACGATATGCAACGATATGGATAAAAGCAAACGCTTATGCGCCAGTCCCGAGAATAGACATTCGAGCTACGTGAATTTTTCATTCGTTCGTTACGTGGATGCATCATTAAGATTAATTATTGGGTGCATCAGCGAACTCCGGGAAAATGACTCGGCGCAGCTGCTTACCCGGTCTAGCGATCATAATACATCATTCTTGTTCATAATTCTTTGGTGAGAGTTGGTTATTCATCAACGATATTACTATTTTTAGTAAGATTAATCGCAACCATCTCGTGATTTCGTAATGAGCATATTCTTAATGCAAGTGATAAAAGGTAATTACTTTGAGGTTAGGTGCTGACTTTTATTTCATATTAGGGGGAGTCAGTTCATAGAATCAAATAAGATTTTCATGTATTTTATACTAACAACGAAATAACAGCGAAAGGGTACAAATTTATTTTTCTTTTTATTTCCACATTTATTATTACATTGTTAGGATTGCTTAGTGTTTCGCGAACACTTCATTGATTAAGAAATTTCCCCCATAGTCCTCTATTAACACATAACCTCTCAATCTACGGAACAGCACGCGACTCTTTGCACCGAAACGAGTCCAATGAGCATTTAATTGTTCCACCCCATTCATCACGAAAGAATTCGGTCGATAGTGCTCGCGTCCGTAACGGGAAAAACAGCTTGACGCGTTTTCAAAACGTTTCCATAGAAGCGCCACTGCGCACTATTCCCTCCACCACAGTTTAACGACAATCACTTTTATATTTTTAACCAGTGAAACTTGCCAGTAAAACAGACAAATAAAAATCTACAGAAAAGACAAAATCGAATCAGTATCTAAACTATAACTTAACAAGAATAGAACACCATTTCTTAAAATCCCTCTGGTGGCAAATGCTCGAGACATCACCATAAATTCTTTCTATTTACTTTTGTTGCTGAAACAGAGATGCCACCCCGAAATGTTGTTTGGTTACCAGACGCTGCATGTAACAAGAGGACCGCAACGCGGACGATAATAATACCACACACGACACCGAATGCATTCGCCTCGTGGCGACGAGATCTCTTTGTTTCCATTTTTTCCCTTTCACAAGCCACATTCTCCAGGGCGGCTTAAACGGCACGCGAGGTTTCCACATTAGTGTTAGAGCGTCTCGTAGAGGCGCGGAATGCGAGGGGATCGAGGCGAGGGATGGTCCGGCATCCAGAGAAAACATGTAGGCAGCTAGTTGCAAAATTCGTACTTGCGTAAGTACAGTTTGCCATGGACGCGGGATGGGATGACGTTGTCGACTAGGATCGTGTGAATTCTTATCTATACTTTCGATAGAATCAAATTTTGCTT